CCTGACACGGCTTAGTCTCTTTGGATCTGTTTGGTATCTTTTCTCATCTATTGCCCATCTTTCTGCAGCTTGTGGCACTAATGGTGGAGATTGGTCACACTCCAAGTAGATCTCAGCTACCACTATCATTACGAGGAACCACAGTTTCGTTTGGTCTACGGCTTTTAGTCTTTAACCCCACTGGTTACCTACGTTATACTATAGTGGTACGTATCTGGATCCACTGGCTTAGTAAAATCCCGCATGGAAAAGCACGGGCCATAAGGGCAACGCACGGAGGCTGGGGACGAGCATCGATGCCCATGATGGCTGGGATCAACATCAACCAGCCTAGTTAGGCTATATTGGCATCAGTCTGACAGGGCATTAACCAGGTTGGCCGTTCCAGGTTCCAGCTCTGAAAACGTAGACTGATGATATTTCAACACTGAATCATTTTTACAATCCATGTCAATGTCTGGGGGATTCTTATGAATCAACAATCTACGTACCAAACTATTAACGATGCAAAAGAAGGCAGTTGATGGATTGAACAACCTCAACCTTTCATGCTGAGACTGTTCTCCAAAGCCTCCGCAGACCACCCTCCAGGAAAACGAGCGCAGCTGAGGCGCCAGGGACTTGTCGAACTCGCACGTGCGGGCGGCCAAGGAAGCCATCGAGTTGCGGGAGGTCTGACTCGCCTGGCGAGAGTTCGGTGCATCCCACAACTCCAACCTGTCCATCTGTCGCCCTGGCGCAAAAAAAAAACACCAATTCCGTTGAGGATCCTTTGAGGATGCTTGTAGTATCGACAAATTGTTTGACCTGACAATTCTGTGCTTCCCCTGAAACCAGACTCGCCTGGTGTGCAATGTCGATGCGCCAATAACCTCAGTGTATTTCCACAGTGACAGCCATAGAGTGAAGCGAGACAGTCATCCTTGGCCGTCCAGCGAAGCTCCATGTCAGCTCATTCCCAATGTGAACGCAGGTTCAAAGAATCACGCCTATGTCATCCCTGGCATTCCCTGGCAGTTGATTCCCGCCACGGCTGTTCCAGTCAAACAAAACAATTCATTTGCCGACAGTTCCTTTAGTTTGTCAACCATCAACTCTACTCCCTCAAACACCTAAGACACATTGAATTAAAACCGGGGAATGATGAAACAACTCGGTTGTGCAAAGAAACATGTTGTGAAAACTCTGGCTGCACTGCCTTCCTCGATCACTTCACTGAGTTCCATGGAGAAAACATACTCCGCACCATGGCATTCTACCCTGCTAGTAGCCGACGTCTATCTTGAATATACAACGGCATAGTTTAGAGCATTCTATCTGGCATCAATTCTTGCATTCTATCTGGCATCCTATCAGGAATATGTTCTGATTGTCTGACATTCTGTTCACATTTATACTGACATTCTTTCTATCTAGTTCACCTCCAGTGGTGCCCACTGTGATCCAACAAATGAGCGCCTTGCTGCCAGCTCATGCCATTCTTGAATTTGTTTGTCGTCTTTCCGATAAAGATCCAACAACGAGGTTAACTGCATTGATGAATCTCCAAGAAACGCCATTGACATGTTTCGAGGACCTACAGCAACACTGCGCCGAGACGCGTGCATTGTGTTCACGCGTGCTGTGCGCTGTGGGACACCTGAGGTGAGTTTTATATATACATTGGGGCCATACATGATCATAAATGGGGCAAATGATGTATATCCGCAGGCACAAACCAATGGGACTGGCATAATTGGGGCCATACCATACATTCACCCCTGGCTTCACGTTCGCAACCCGTATGTAATGTAAATAGTCCAGTCCTCATGCCGATCCTTCAATGCTCTGGGGTCGCACCTCGCAGGCCCTGTTCGCCTCTCAGCGACGCAGGGCGGACTCAGGATCGGTCCAAGCGACGCAGGGCGGTGACGGCACCAGTCTCGAAAGGGTTCTCGGTGAAGCTGGTGTAGACCATGTAGCCTGAGTCTTCGGTGTTCTTTTTGTTTGGGAACAGCCGCCTAGTGGCCTAGTGAGATCTGAGTATTTGACGTGACCATGAGACGCCTCCGCGTGACGTTTTCTTTTTCACGAAAAGACGAAGAGCTTCTCTTCGGCGCCTGCAGCGCCTGGTCCGATCAAACCAGTTTCTGGTGTCCTATGTCGTAGGATGACTGCTCCCCACAAAATCTTTGATTGACCACTGTCCTCGGAATATCGAACTTTAATGAATAACCTCCCCATTGTCATTGTGGCCCTTCCACTGGGGAGTTTTTAGTCAAGAGTCTACATTCCTCCAAACCAAGCAACAGAACACCAGCTGCAAGAAGACTGTGAAGGCCAGCAGGAAGAGGAGTATCTCAGGAATGAGCACGCTTGCAACTCGAACCCGGTGACACACTGTGAACATGACACACTGTAGCTGGCGGGTCGGCAGAATCATATAAAGAACTATTATATCCTGGATCATCCAATTGGCCACCAATAGTCCAAACCTTATGCTGATATGGTGCAAATTATGTTTTTTGTCCAGGCCAAAACCACAAAACCACCACCGCCCCTCCCCATATCAGGCTCCACCCCGGTTCTTCACCACCTGCCAAACACAAAGACATAGAGAAACTATAGCTCCTCAAGGTGATCCAGAACGTCCTTCTCTCCTCTCAACTCTGTCCATTTGTTGGAACTTCTCTTTCCGGAACACCTCACCTGACCTCCCCGTCCACCACCGTCCACCACCGTCTACCACCGGGCACTAATTATTTCATATTGTTTCACCGGGCACAACCCGTCCAAGCATTGTCCCCAGCGGCCATGGAGGAGCCCCAACCGATGGACGGATGCCCAAAACAGATCACCGCATCCCAGCAGTTCTCCGCAAAGACCTCGTTCCGCGAGCGTGCTGTGTGGCGCCGAGGGGAACGTGTGTTGCGCGGGAGCAAGCCGGTGGACACCAGCGCTAGCATCCATGGACTGGCCTATATATATATATATATAAGAGGTTTTTTGTGACCTGAAAACGGACCCATCACCTGGGGTATCCAACTGGGATAGTCGAACAGTCGGGTTCTTCGAACTCTATTGGTTTGAGAGCTCTTTCTGGGGCAGCATCTTTTCCAGTTTGGATGGATGGAACTAAGGAGATCTACAGTAAGGAGACATAACACCTGTGTCTTCACCGTCTCCGAGTTCGGAAAAACGACCACCGTCCAAGACATCAGAGGGGGTAGAGGGGCCCAAACCCCAACCATTTGGGCCATCGGACCGATCCAACCCCCTTCATTTGAAAAGAGACCCATGGACCCATGGACGTTCTGGGGGGCCTCCCGGCTTCGCATCGGACCTGATGGGACCACTCTTGTTTTAGAGTGGTCCGACTGGTTAGAACCCGGTCGTTTGGGGATCCTCTTCCAGAGTGTAATTCTCAATCCCGAATTAGGGCTCCGAGTTCGGCCCTGCCATCCTCAGGTGAAGGTGGTGTCTTCCGACCCCTCTGGCATTTTATCCCTGGCCCATCTTCTCAACGGAGGTAGGCCAAGAGGTGTAGGAAATGATCATACCCTACGACGCCCTACGAATCAAGAACCCTCAAGACGTGGTTCAGGTTTGCTTCGGGTCCAAGGGCCCAACCAACCCCTGAACTTCTGCAGGGTCAGGTCACCCTCCAGTTCGGGTCCATTTCGGGTCTAGAGCTGTGTGTACCAAGGTCGACCTGTCTCTCGACCTCGAGAGGTCGGGTTGCGAGAGACGAGAGACGGACGGGCGCAGGAAGCGAGTAAGGGGAGCGACCCACCCTGGCGGTGGACCAGGACTTGATCCTACATTGGGGTGGTTTGATGAATCAATAAACATCATTTAAACATTCCTTTTTTTCCCAGGACGCTCCTGGCCAGGCTGTAGGGAGCACCTGAACCACAGGTGGTAGTTGGGCACCGGTCCAAGCAAGAATTGTTGGAAAGGTGGGCTTAAATCCGAGGCTCCTTTTTGGTAGACTGGCTTAGATTCAATATACCGGTTCATTCAATATACCGGTTCATTCAATATACCGGTTCATTCAATATACCGGTTCATTCAATATACCGGTTCATTCTAAGATATGTCTTAAGATATGTCTTAAGATGTCTTCGTTGTTTCCAAGTTTTACCTGCTTTTCACGGAAGTTCTTGGATGGTCCGAGTGAGTTGACGCTGAGGGATCGTCGAACGCCCTCCTCCTCGTTTCCGAGTTGGGTGGGTGTCCGGAGGTCGTTGCGTGAGTTGACGCTATGGTTTGGCATCGAGTCACCATGGAGATGTTTTTTGGGGAAAGCCTTGCTGAGTTCAAGGATGAGTTCACCAAGGCTTCTGGGTGAGACTGAAGAGAAGATGGGAGAAGAAAACAGAGAGAGAGAGAGAGAGAAACGAACACAAATTGAGCTTCTGAACAAGCAATCCATTCAACACTCACTTCAAAGATCCAACCCAATCTTCCAGCGACGTCCTGACGCGGCAATTTGTGTTTTCCCCCGTTGTTTTTGCTGTCAAAAAAACACAACTTTTCCCCAGATTCACCAGTTCGGGATATTTAGCAAAAGCCAGCTTCCTGCTTTATTAGCTGGTGACCAAGCATGCTCAAACCGAGGCACGTAGCCTTCCTTGGTGTCCACCGGATGCTCCGTGTTGGACTTTTGCACCTCGGGAGAAGTCTTGGATTTGCAGTTGGGGCCGTGGTGTTATACATATTGTTATCATATATGTGTCTGATATATAACATAACATATACATACATACATACATACATACATACATACATACATACATACATA